GGCTTACAATTTATTTCTTTCACCTATACAATATTCTTGCCGCTTGAAGATATCGAATATCGTTTAGAATGAAGAAAGTAATCGACTATCACCCAACCCTCTGTATACGTTTTGAATCGCTTATAAGTCTATGTTTTTATAATACAGCATCTTAACCCTTTTTGGTATTTTCATGTAGTCAATACACTAAATTGACTATTCAAGTATTCAATGATAAATAGTCATTATACTATTCAATAAATTTATACTGAAATAGATTGATGCAGTAAACTGTTATAAATAAATTGCTTATACTAATATTTGGTATAGTGGTGAAATGTACTGTTACTAACTTCACGAAACAAAAACTTTTAAATAACTAATGGCACGAACCTTTCAAATTACAAATTCCGTTTACTTATTGATTGCATCTTAATACGTCATCTTATACGTAGCTAAGATAATATCAGTAATTGTTTCTTTCAGAATAGCAAATAAGAAGGCTCTTAAAATCTTCAGAGTTAGGTTTTATTCGCAAAAATGTTTACGTCTTAAGTTTTAGTGCAGCCAAATTCAAAAATCCGTTCATTATGAAAGTTCACTGGAAATATTTTTAAGAATATTTCCAGTCTTATAAGAATATCATTTACTAATAAATTCAAATACATAAATAAATAAATTAATTTAAATATATATAAGATAAAAATGCTTACTATTGCTCTTTTAATATTCATCTTGTTTGCTTCTATGGTATTTAAATTAATTAATTTTTAGTGTTAGAATTTGTTTTATATTTGTTAGGAATTTTTATATATCATATTTTACTCAACACAACAAAAGACATATGTCAAAAAAGAGCATTTTACATATTTTAAAAGTTTGTTTCAACCAGACTTAATGCTGTTTTTTTACAACTCTGAAAGAAAAAAATTACGGTTCATATATGATTATTAATTAACATGTCAATAAACGCTAATAGAAATAATAAAAACAAGCGTAAATTATGTGTACGTTTTGCAATAATTATTCAGATACAAAAAAATATGATATCCCGAAAACCAAAATATTTTGTTCATGACGTATTTGTATATAAATATGTATATCACTCGACGTTTATGCTGAGTTTTACAAGAAGAGAAATTAGTTAAAGTAGTAAAGTTCTTTATTTTTTTAAATTATGGACCCCTAAAAAATCAATATTTTTCAAATGAATATTTTGCTTATTAAATTAATTTGAAGTACTTTATCAACAGATTGGAAAGTTAAAAATAATGTGCAAATTTACTTAACTCTTGAGTTAGGAATATTAAATTTGTCTGCAGTGAATCGAATATTGATTTCATATTTAATGCAAATTTGATAATTAAATTTAATTTTTAAATCTACGATATTAATAAGTAAATTATATTTATTTTATAATCAAAAATTACATTTTTTTTATATACTATATAAAAAAATGTAACAAAACAATTAAATTGAATTAGTTTAGGTTATACGTGATTACGATTAATTACGACTAAATTAATTGATATTTGAATGTTTTCTCTAATTCAATTTTAATTATAAATTTCTTTTTAAAGGAATTTACTTATTCGTCATGGTAATGCACATCAGTTTTTAAGGCCAATGCACTTTATAATAAGTTCCGCATGTGCATATGCTATTGGCATGCAATATTCTAAAAAAAAATTTTATTCATTTTAGTTTTATTCCAGATTTTTAGTAAAAACAAAATCTTACTGTAAGCTCTCTACGCTTGAACGAAGCGACGAGTATTCGAAAAGTTTTACGCCCAGCATAGAAAAGAACGGTTATTAATTTTTTATTTTTTTTTTCGACATAATCATCGCTTAACTCCATATACATTTCATATCGATTAACTAAAATTTTTAAATCTATGTACATCGCATATATAGCGTTAAGGTATTTTAAAATATTTATTAAAGCAGATATTAGCTTTTCATCTGATTAATAGAAGTATTGACCTCCAAATTAAACTTTTCATCTTTGGAAACAACAAGACGTCACTAATGGATTGATCTAGTAAATAAGGTAGATTGACTAACATGTTTTATCTATATAAATCGTATATAGCGTTAGGTCTTTAAAATATTTATTAAAGCAGATATTAGCTTTTCATCTGATTAATAGAAGTATTGACCTCCAAATTAAACTTTTCATCTTTGGAAACAACAAGACGTCACTAATGGATTGATCTAGTAAATAAGGTAGATTGACTAACATGTTTTATCTATATAAATCGTATATAGCGTTAGGTCTTTAAAATATTTATTAAAGCAGATATTAGCTTTTCATCTGATTAATAGAAGTATTGACCTCCAAATTAAACTTTTCAACTTTGGAAACAACAAGTCGTCACTAATGGATTGATCTAGTAAATAAGGTAGAATGTCAATCAATTCAATTCGTAATTCTTAAATTTTAGCCAAGATGTTGGATTGTAAAGCGGTGCTTTTGTTTCTCTACATTATCACAAACATCTATAGTCGGCCGATGAAAAAATCTAATAAAAATAATTTTGACAGTAGAACCTGATGAACATATTCATGTTTGTATTTAAAAGCATTGTTCGTAGATTTGGTAGAATATTTTTTGTTGCAAACCATTCATTTTTTGTTTGTGAGGAGGAGGTTGTATATGCACCTCCTACCACCTGCGTTTCCTAACGCATACTCAACTGTCGCCTCAGTAATGGTATGTTTCATTTGCACGCATTAAAAAAAGTAATATATGTTCACTTAGTCTATACAACCTTAAGATTATTGAAACATGACTTCAAGATAGGACCTCTATATTGTTTTTTGTTTGTTTCTGTGTCAAAAACCTGCTTTTTCCTTTGGAGCACATTTTCGTTGAACTATGTTATGTGATTTTGTTACAGATTTTTGGTCATGTTTTCATCTTTCCAATAATAAATTCGGCAATCTGTGTGCTAATTCTTCTTTTTGTTCGTTACCTTTCGCTGTTGAAGAAAGTGTGCTTAACATCTTTCGCATTGGATCCGCAATATTATCAGCTCGATTGCTCTATTTTCTCATCCTGTATAGAGATGTTTCGAAAGTATTCATAACCAATTAGAAACTATATTACATAGTGGTTTATCTTTCCAAAATTTTTTTCTATCCCCGATTTTAACACCAATAAATCCAAAAATTAATAATATAAATTTTATTTGCAAATATTTTGGTGTAAAAAATTTTAATATATTAGAAGTAACAATAATAACACTCTGTCGTGAGAAATCTAATATATATATGAATATATTATACTTGTATAAAATGTGTATATAAAAACATTTTAACTAATTTTATAAATATTTTAAATAACCACTATTTACGATTCCAATGACCTTTATTTAATTATGCAGTTTTTAATGATGTATGCTTAAGTAAAATTGCATTTTTGGGATTCAAAAACAGTTCATATATACTTTTCTGCTGCAGTTTCTTTTGAATGCATTTATTTGTCCCCGTGTTCATACCTTTTTGTTTGCATTTGCAATGTTGCTGATACTTTAGTACATTGCAGTCTCACTCGAGTATGCGATCTGCAATTTAGGTCATCGCCATCATCATCATAGTCAGTCACCATCATCCCCCTCATCAGCAGCATTCACATGCTTAAACATACCCCATCTTCATCATCTTCATCATCATCTGCATCAGCGGCAAAGCCATTATGAATATAGCTAACATAACTCCCAATGGGTTTTTGAATAAAATATTCTTGAATTTTACTCAGACTTTTGTACGTATTCCTTTACGAACTGGTAAATGTAGCTGCAGCAATATTTTGTTAGTAGTTTTTACTGCTCTTCTCTTCACTTCTGCAAAGATTTTTCTTGTTTGTGGTTTTGCTTTTATAAGGTTTTTAGATGTTCTTAAATGAAATAAAATGGGTTCTGAGTAATAGTTGTGAAAAAAATGGAATACTAGTTTTAGTAATGGTAGCGCCTATAAATTAAATTTAAAATCATTTAACAAAAACAAATTAAAAAAAAAAAACACAAACTATTTAATATCTTTAAATCTAAAGAATCTAAATTCTTGTTTTCTGTGCACAATTAAGGCCAACTGTAATAAATATTATCTAAATGGATTTTATATTTTGGAATAATTTAATAATAATTTGTCAGTTTTAATCATTTTATATGATAATTTAATTCCAATTAAATGCGGTGCATTTGAGTATAAATTTGAAAATATGCAATGAATAATGTTTGATATTTAGTTGCATGAGCTTTTGAAAACCCATTTATTTTCATGGACTTAACTCGTTTTGTATATACCTATGATGTATATGTGATGAATTCAACGAATTTATTGCATAAACTAATTTTACTCTTCACCTGCATATGGAGCATAATGCACATGCAGCTTTCAACCTTAATTGCCTTTGAGTGGGCGTGCGTGATTTAATTTAACATAAAATTTGTGTACAAAGAGTAAATTTACTCGATGAATCGTGATAAGGCGTGCAAGACTAGGCGTGCACAAAACAGACCAGCATTCCGTCCTGAATTTTCATGTTTATTTATTTGCAGGTGTACTCTGGTAAATCAAATTTTCAGTAGCATAGAAACATTTTGCTAAAAAATTAATACGAAATATAGGACAATATCATTTTTGACGTATATATCCGTTATATAAAAATAATTTCGCATCATTGGGAATCAGCCATAGGTGCTGAATCTCAATTA